ATCATATGCTATCACATTCTGTCTGCCTCCCATCCCATATGTTTTCAACTTGCATGTGTGGTTTGAATGTGCAAGCATTTGTGTGGTGTGTTCTGGAGTTTGGGAATGTGTTTTGTGTTATTTTGTTTGAGCAGGTATTTGTGATGATAGATCTTGAGAAGATCTTTCCGACGCAACAAGAATCCTTCAATCGGAGCAAGAACGCGAAAGCTATGAAGATTCAAAGTTCATGAGCTTGCGTTACAATTGCGGCGGTTACAAAGTGAAGTTGTGGGGTGACTTTATATGGAGTTGGGACCTTTGGGGTTGGGGAAATTTGTCACTCTACTGTAACAGCTGCAAATTGGTTGGGAACAACCAAGCTAGGTTGGCAAGGGTGGCCAACTTGGATGGATTGGTTGGGAAGGGACAAAGGTCAAAGTTGAGGTTCCTATAGGGAGGGAATCTTTGTGCTTATGGGGTTTCCTTGGTTGGGGACTCTCTTGGGACCTTCCCTCTCATCCCTCTCTTCTATCCCAACCTTTCTCTTGCTCCTCTAATTCCTTGTGAGATTCTTGAACTTTGATTGAACTCTTGAGATTGAGTTAAGTTCTCCTCCTACAGCTTACCCCCTAGTGCGTCGAAAGCCATAGCGTCGCGAATACTTCATCAATCAACGTGATTCAAATTGGGAACGGTAGCTGAGATTAAGAGCTACAACATATCCAAGTTTCGCGACATTCCAACGGCTAGTTTTGTCGACGTCGTTTCTTGTGAAGACGACTTTTCTGTCCAGAATTTCGGATTTATATTTTGAGTAATTCTAGCTCCTAAGTTCACCTAGACTCCGTCCTTAATCCTAACAAGTGGTATCAGAGCATATTAAGGACATTGAGAGGAGTCTACAGAAGTGTAAGACCCTTCTAGACCCACCATGGCCTGTGGGTGTGCCTAAGTGGTGTTCTAAAGGTTGGATGTGTCTTCCGCTAAGGGGAAACTCTGCCGAAATTTCGTGGACGCCGACACTTGTGAAAATATCGAGGGAGCTGAGTGTGGACAGCAAAGGGGAGCTGAAATTCGTCATTTCTCAAGGAGAAGATGAATGAGAGAGGAGGAGATGCTAATGGAAGAGGAGCTGTAGCTGAGAAGACAAGTGAGCCGCCGCCATCAAAAGTTGAAGCTTTGGATGGCTCCAACTATGAGGAATGGAGCGGACGGATGAGGAGTGCCTTCAAACGCTACAAGCTACTGAAGATTGCTGTTGGGGAAGAGAAGATGCCGGAAGAAGGCGAAGCACGTGAACGGTGGATTGAGAAAAGCGCGGTGCTTTTCGACCTCATCCTTCAATCGGTCAACAAGGAGATGTTCGAGCACATCAAGGATCTTGTGGAAGCGGATGATTCGGGTCCAAGGGCGTGGAAACTACTACGTGATGTGATTCAGCCCAACACTCTCCGATGGTGATCGTGCTCGAGAAGGAACTTGCTGCCATCTCCATGCGACCAGGGGACGATGTGAAGCCGGTCCTTGACAAGATCAAGGACACCTATGCAAGGATGGCAGCAGCGGGCAGCAGTGTATCTCAGCTGCAGCAGTGCACCAAGATCATCTCGGTGTTGGACAACTCTTGGGACAACCTCATCCCCACCCTCAACTCTCAGCAAGATCAATGGACACCTGAGTGGCTAAGGCAGCAGATTCTGCAGGAGGACTTCCGCAGACGCCATGTGGGAGGCGGTGCTGCCACTAAGACTGCTGAGGGGTATGGAGCTGCAGGGCGCGGCAGAGGAAGAGGGGGTTGGAGAGGCCGAGGCCGTGGGAGGAGCTTTGGCAGAGGTAGAGGCCGAGGTGACTATAATGAGGGGCATGGGAGCTCAGTGGCAGGGGGAGTACCAGAATGGAGGGCACCTGCTGGTACTGCAAGAAGGTCGGGCATCCTTGGTTCAAGTGCTTCAGCAGGCCGGAGGGATGGGCACCTCCAGGCATGAAGCCGCCCAGTGGTGAACGCGCACAAGGTGGCGCTGTGCAAGGCTCAGGTGCACAAGGTGAAGGTGCACAAGGTAATGCCTATCCTGGTTTGTTTCTTATGGTTGAGGATGTGCATGGGCATGAGGGTGATGTGGGATTGTGGGAAAGGTTGTGATGCACCCTCTCACGCACTGGGTGATTGATTCGGGTTGCACCAGTCACATGACCTCCACGGGCAGATTTGCTTGATGAGGTAAAACCCCTGGGAAGATTAAGTATGTGGCAGCAGCGTCAGGTGCTTTGCTCCCCGTGATTGGTGTTGGAATGCCAAGGTTAAGGGAGCTAATGGGGAGCTTGTGGGCTTGGGAATGTTCTGCTGGTTAAAGGCTTGTCTGCTAACCTTCTCTCTGTGCGGCGGCTGCAGAAGAGTAAGGCGAAGTGACCTTTGGACCAACCAGCTGCCGTGCTAAGCTTGGGAAAAGTGCTGTGGAGTCTGGAAGAGGAGACCAGCTGCATCAAGGACCTGTGGCAGCTGCCCATCATCCCTTGGAATGGGAAGACTCCAACAGCAGCAACGGCAGCAGTGGCAAAGGCAACAGCAGGAGGAGATGCAAACTGCACCAACTGATGGGGTCCTGGAAGCAGTCAAGAAAGTGCAGAAGCAGCAGACACATGGTGAGGTGCTTGCTGGTGTGGATGCGAGTGCGGCATGGGCTAAGGCTTCACAAAGAGTGGAGAGGCCGATTGGGAGACATGGCATGAGAGGCTGTGTCATGTGAACTTCCCTATGCTGCAGAAGTTGGTGAAGGATGGGAGCCTGAAGGGCTGGAGGTGAAAGGGGAAGTGAAGGAGATTGGGAGCTGCCCTACATGCTTGGAGACCAAGTTCTCCAAGTTCCCCTTCAACAGTGCAACTGGATCAGCCAAGACCCCACTTGCACTTGTGCACATGGATTGGTGGGGCCCACAAGAGCCCCTTCCCTCTCAGGCAGCCGCTATTTCTTGACAATTGTGGATGACCACACTTGGGCAGTGTGGGTTTACCCTTTGAAGAGCAAAGGGGAGGTGGCAGCGGCTGTCCTTAAGGAGTGGATGCCGAGAGCTCAGAGGAATGCGGACACAAGGTGAAGGTGATCCGTAGTGACAATGGTGGGGAGTTCATTGGAGCTGATTTTGAGGGGGAGTTGAAGAGGAAGGGGATCCAGCATCAACTGACAGTGCCCTACAACCCACAGCAGAATGGCGTGGCTGAGAGGTTCAACAGGACCCTGCAGGAGGGGGCACGCACTCTCCTTGGGCGTGCAGGGCTGCCTGATCCGTTTGGGTGTCTGCACTGAGGCAGGTCGCCCTTGTGAAGAACAGGGTGCTGGCTACAGTTGGAGATAAGGAGTGGATCCCATACGCAAGTGGTATGGGAGTGCTCCAGCTGTGAACATGCTGAGGGCATTTGGGTGCATGGTGTGTTTCATGTGCCTAAGGAGAAAAGGGGGAAGTTGGAGGCTTCTGGAAGATGGGTGTGCACTTGGGGATTGCAAAGGATCACAAGGGTGGCTGCTATGGGACTTGACCACCCAGAAGTGACAGTGTCAAGGGATGTGAAGTTTCTTGAGTCCCTGTACTACAAGGAATGGAAGCAGCAGCAACAGAAGCTTCCATCTACACCGCTCATTGTGGAGGCAGATGAGGTGCAGCAGCCTTCAAGACAGGTGGAGGTTGCAGTGTCAGAGGAGGAGATGTCTGGGGTGACTGAGGAAGGGGGAGCAGCTGAAGTAGAGCAGCAGCAGCAGCAGCATGAGTCTCCACCTCGAGTTCCACACCCGCCTGAGCGTCCTAGGAGGGGATGTGCGCCCTCCAGTGAGGCTGACCTATGGGGGAAGAGGCAAGCCGAATGTGGTGCAGGCTGGGAGTGTGGTTGAGCAGATTGAGGAAGATGAGATCGCTCACTGCTACTGGGCACCAATCCCTGAGCCCAAGACTCGAGGAAGAGGCCTTGAATGGACCAAAATGGGGAGAAGTGGAAGGCGAGTGAGGATGAGGAGTTCGGGTCCCTAATTGAGAACGAGACATGGGACCTGTGTGACTTGCCTCCTGGAAAGAAGCAATCACTTCCAAGATGATCTACAGGCACAAGTATGGACCTGAAGGGGAGCTGACCCCGCTACAAGTCTAGGCTTGTGGCACGGGGGTTTCAGCAGACAAAGGGGAAGGACTATGATGAGGTGTTTGCTCCTGTGGGGAAAGGAACAACACTGAGGGTGCTGTTGGCGATAGCTGCACTCCTGGGATGGAAGATTCGGCAGATGGATATTGTGACTGCCTTTCTGAATGGGATCATTATGGAGGAGGTGTACATGAAGCAGCCAGAGGGGCTGGATGACGGGAGCGGCAGGGTCTGCAGGCTGAAGAAGGCCATCTATGGCCTTAAGCAGGCGCCTCGTGCATGGTATCACAAGTTGGAGGAGGCGCTGTTGGCTGGGGGTTTCAAGAAGAGTGAGTGTGACCCCAGCCTGTTCCTGCTGCAGGAGAAGGATGAAATCCTCATGCTCGTGGTGTAATGTGGATGATATCCTTCTCTTTTCTGCATCCAACTGCTTTGCTGGACAGCGCAGAGCAGATGCTGGAGATGCAGTTCAAGTGCTCCAAGATGGGTGAGGTGAAGTACTACTTGGGGATGCACGTGGAGAGAGATGTGGAAAAGGGTGTGCTGAGGTTGCACCAGAGGAAGTACTGTGAGGGGCTGGCTGAAGAAGTATGGGCTGCAAGATGGGGGAAAGCCAGCAACACCACTACCTTCAGGGTTTACTGTGGAGCCATGTGCTGATGAGGAGGTAGTGGGGTGATAGTGACAGGAAGCTGTTTCATTCGATGGTTGGGTCGCTGAATTATGCTGCAAATCATACACGGCCTGACATTGCATTTCTACATCACGGTTGGCTAGTGTGGTCTCACGCCCTAGTCATGAGCAGCTGGAAGCGGCCAAGAGGTTGGTCCGCTATGTGAGTGCTACGGCATCAGTGGGATTGGAGTACAGTGGAGTGAGGCAGCGGTTGCAGAGAGGTGCTGCAATGTGAAGAGTGGAGAGATGCTCTTGAGTTGCTATACTGACGCTAGCTTCAACTCTGTGAAAGCGGATGGCACCAGCATTGGGGGTTATGTGTGCTTGCTAGGAGGTGGTGCTGTGAGCTGGCGCAGCAAGAAGCAAATGAGGTGGGATTCTCTTCATGTGAGACTGAGTACATGGCCTTACACCATGGGCCAAGGAAGTAGTGTGGCTAAGGCGTTTGTTGGAGGAGTTGGGAGTTGGTCAGGAAGAAGCCGACAGTTGTGTTTTGTGACAATGAGTCCGCTGTGAAGCTCGCCAAGAATGCTTGTCTGCATGGGCTGACAAAACACATAAGGCCTAAGTGGCATTGGGTGAGGAGACTCCTTGATAAGGAGGTGCGGCTGGAGATAGTGAAGACCCATCAGCAGCAGCAGATATTTTCACTAAGCGTCTGGCGGAGGCGGATCATTGGAAGGGCATGAAGCTTGCTGGGATGAGTGTGCATTGAGTATGCATGCTTGAGATGTGGTATGGTGGATGATGGTTGGAAGCCAGAGGGGGAGATTGTTGTGTGATGTCATCATATGCTATCACATTCTGTCTGCCTCCCATCCCATGTTTTCAACTTGCATGTTGGTTTGAATGTGCAAGCATTTGTGTGTGGTGTGTTCTGGAGTTTGGAAATGTGTTCTGTGTTATTTTGTTTGAGCAGGTATTTGTGATGATAGATCTTGAGAAGATCTTCCGACGCAACGAGAATCCCTTCAATCGGAGCAAGAACGCGAAAGCTATGAAGATTCAAAGTTCATGAGCTTGCGTTACAATTGCGGCGGTTACTAAAGTGAAGTTTGTGGGGTGAATTTATATGGAGTTGGGACCTTTGGGGTTGGGGAAATTTGTCACTCTAACTGTAAACAGCTGCAAATTGGTTGGGAACAACCAAGCTAGGTTGGCAAGGGTGGCCAACTTGGATGGATTGGTTGGGAAGGGACAAAGGTCAAAGTTGAGGTTCCTATAGGAGGGAATCTTTGTGCTTATGGGTTTCCTTGGTTTGGGACTCTCTTGGGACCTTCCCTCTCATCTCTCTCTTCTATCCCAACATTTTCTCTTGCTCCTCTAATTCCTTGTGAGATTCTTGAACTTTGATTGAACCTTTGAGATTGAGTTAAGTTCTCCTCCTACAGCTTACCCCCTAATGCGTCGAAAGCCATAGCGTCGCGAATACTTCATCAATCAACGTGATTCAAATTGGAACGGTAGCTGAGATTACGAGCTACAACATATCTAAGTTTCGGCGACATTCCAACGGCTAGTGTTTTGTCGACGTCGTTTTCTTGTAAAGACGACTTTTCTGTCCAGAATTTCGGATTTATATTTTGAGTTATTCTAGCTCCTAAGTTCACCTAGACTCCGTCCTTAATCCTAACAAAATGGAGAATGGAATATGGAAGATGGAGCATGGAGCATGGAAGATGGAAGTTGGAAGATGGAAGATGGAGCATGGAAGATGGAAGATAGAAGATGGAAGATGGAGCATGGAAAATGGAAAATATAAGATGGAGCATGGAATATGGAAGATGGAAGATGGAAGATGGAGCATGGAAAATGGAAAATGGAAGATGGAAGATGCAAGACGGAGCATGGAAGATGGAAAATGAAACATGGAGCATGGAATATGGAAGATGGAAGATGGAGCATGGAAAGTGGAAGATGGAAGATGGAGCATGGAAAGTAGAAGATGGAAGAATGAAGATACAACATGAAAGATGGAAAATAAAGATGGAATATGGAAGATGGAAGATAGAGCATGGAATATGGAAGATGGAAGATTGAGTCAGGAATATGGAAGATGGAGCATGTAAAATGGAAGATGGAAAATGGAAGATGGAGCATGGAAGATGGAAGATGGAGCATGGAAGATGGAAGATGGAGCATGGAAGATGGAAGATGGAAAATGGAAGATGAAGCATTGAAGATGGAAGATGGAAGATGGAAGATGGAGCATGGAAAATGGAAGATGGAAAATGGAAGATGGAGCGTGGAAGATAGAAGATGGAGCATGGAAGATGGAAGATGGAAGATGGAGCAAGGAAGATGGAAGATGGAGCATGGAAGATGGAAGATGGAAAAATGGAAGATGCACGATGGAGCCTGGAAGATGGAAGATGGAGCATGGAAGAAGGAAGATAGAAGATGGAAGTTGGAGCATGGAAGATGGATCATGGAAGATGGAAGATGGAAGATGGAAGCTGGAAGATGGAGCATGGAAAGTGGAAGATGGAAGATGCAAGATGGAGCATGGAAGATGGAAAGTGAAAGATGGAGAATGGAATATGGAAGATGGAAGATGGAGCATGGAATATGGAAGATGGAAGATGGAGTATGGGAGATGGAAGATGGAGCATGGAAGATGGAAGATGGAAGATGAAAAATGAAAGATGTAGCATGGAAGTTGGAAGATGGAGCATGGAAGATGGATGATGGAAAATGGAAGATGGAGCATTGAAGATGGAAGATGGAAGATGGAGCATGTAAGATGGAGCATGGAAGATGGAAGATGGAAGATGGAAGATGGAGCATGGAAAATGGAAGATGGAAAATGGAAGATGGAACGTGGAAGATAGAAGATGGAGCATGGAAGATGGAAGATGGAAGATGGAGCATGGAAGATGGAAGATGGAGCATGGAAGATGGAGCATGGAAGATGGAAGATGGAAGATGGAAGATGGAAGATGGAAGATGGAAAATTGAGCCTGGAAGATGGAAGATGGAGCATGGAAGAAGGAAGATGGAAGATGGAAGTTGGATCATGGAAGATGGAAGATGGAAGATGGAAGATGGAAGATGGAAGATGGAAGATGGAGCATGGAAAGTGGAAGATGGAAGATGCAAGATGGAGCATGGAAGATGGAAAATGAAAGATGGAGAATGGAATATGGAAGATGGAAGATGGAAGATGGAGCATGGAATATGGAAGATGGAGTATGGAAGATGGAAGATGGAGCATGGAAGATGGAAGATGGAAAATGAAAGATGTAGCATGGAAGATGGAAGATGGAGCATGAAAGATGAAAGATGTAACATGGAAGATGGAGCATGAAAGATGGAAGATGGAAGATGGAGTGTGGAGGATGCGGCATGGAAGATGGAGTATGGAAAATGGAGAATGGAATATGGAAGATGGAGCATGTAGCTTGGAAGATGGAAGTTGGAAGATGGAAGATGGAGCATGGAAGATGGAAGATAGAAGATGGAAGATGGAGCATGAAAAATGGAAAATGAAAGGTGGAGCATGGAATATGGAAGATGGAAGATGGAAGATGGAGCATGGAAAATGGAAGATGGAAGATGGAAGATGCAAGACGGAGCATGGAAGATGGAAAATGAAACATGGAGCATGGAATATGGAAGATGGAAGATGGAGCATGGAAAGTGGAAGATGGAAGATGGAGCATGGAAAGAAGAAGATGGAAGATGGAAGATAGAACATGAAAGATGGAAAATAAAGATGGAATATGGAAGATGGAAAGTAGAGCATGGAATATGGAAGATGGAAGACTAAGTTAGGAAGATGGAAGATGGAGCATGTAAGATGGAAGATGGAAAATGGAAGATGGAGCATGGAGGATGGAAGATGGAGCATGAAAGATGGAAGATGGAAGATCGAGCATGGAAGATGGAAAATGATAGATGGAGCATGGAAGATGGAAGATGGAAGATGGAGCACGGAAGATGGAGCATGGAAGATTGAAGATGGAAGATGGAAGATGGAAGATGGAGCATGGAAAGTGGAAGATGGAAGATGCAAGATGGAGCATGGAAGATGGAAAATGAAAGATGGAAAATGGAATATGGAAGATGGAGCGTGGAATATGGAAGATGGAGTATGGAAGATGGAAGATGGAGCATGGAAGATGGAAGATGGAAATTGAAAGATATAGCATGGAAGATGGAAGGTGGAGCATGAAAGATGAAAGATGGAGCATGGAAGATGGAGCATGAAAGATGGAAGATGGAAGATGGAGCGTGGAGGATGCGGCATGGAAGATGGAGCATGGAAAATGGAGAATGGAATATGGAAGATGGAGCATGGAAGATGGAGCATGTAGCATGGAAGATGGAAGTTGGAAGATGGAAGATGGAGCATGGAAGATGGAGGATAGAAGATGGAAGATGGAGCATGGAAAATGGAAAAAAAAAAAAGATGGAGCATTGAATATGGAAGATGGAAGATGGAAGATGGAGCATGGAAAATGGAAGATGGAAGATGGAAGATGGAAGATGCAAGACGGAGCATGGAAGATGGAAAATGAAACATGGAGCATGGAATATGGAAGATGGAAGATGGAGCATGGAAAGTAGAAGATGGAAGATGAAGATACAACATGAAAGATGGAAAATAAAGATGGAATATGGAAGATGGAAGATAGAGCATGGAATATGGAAGATGGAAGACTGAGTCAGAAAGATGGAAGATGGAGTATGTAAAATGGAATATGGAAAATGGAAGATGGAGCATGGAAGATGGAAGATGGAGCATGGAAGATGGAAGATGGAGCATGGAAGATGGAAGATGGAAAATGGAAGATGGAGCATTGAAGATGGAAGATGGAAGATGGAGCATGGAAAATGGAAGATGGAAAATGGAATATGGAGCGTGGAAGATAGAAGATGGAGCATGGAAGATGGAAGATGGAAGATGGAGCATGGAATATGGAAGATGGAGCATGGAAGATGGAAAATGGAAGATGGAAGATGGAGCCTGGAAGATGGAAGATGGAGCATGGAAGAAGGAAGATAGAAGATGGAAGTTGGAGCATGGATTATGGATCATGGAAGATGGAAGAGGGAATGTGGAAGATGGAATGTGGAAGATGGAAGATGGAGCATGGAAAGTGGAAGATGGAAGATGCAAGATGGAGCATGGAAGATGGAAGATGGAGCATGGAAGAAGGAAGATAGAAGATGGAAGTTGGAGCATGGAAGATGGATCATGGAAGATGGAAGATGGAATGTGGAAAATGGAAGATGGAGCATGGAAAGTGGAAGATGGAAGATGCAAGATGGAGCATGGAAGATGGAAAATGAAAGATGGAGAATGGAATATGGAAGATGGAAGATGGAAGATGGAGCATGGAATATGGAAGATGGAGTATGGAAGATGGAAGATGGAGCATGGAAGATGGAAGATGGAAAATGAAACATGTAGCATGGAAGATGGAAGATGGAGCATGAAAGATAAAAGATGGAACATGGAAGATGGAGCATGAAAGATGGAAGATGGAAGATGAAGCGTGGAGGATGCGGCATGGAAGATGGAGTATGGAAAATGGAGAATGGAATATGGAAGATGGAGCATGTAGCATGGAAGATGGAAGTTGGAAGATGGAAGATGGAGCATGGAATATGGAAGATGGAAGATGGAGCATGGAAAGTAGAAGATGGAAGATGGAAGATGCAACATGAAAGATGGAAAATAAAGATGGAATATGGAAGATGGAAGATAGAGCATGGAATATGGAAGATGGAAGACTGAGTCAGGAAGATGGAAGATGGAGCATGTAAAATGGAAGATGGAAAATGGAAGATGGAGCATGGAAGATGGACGTTGGAGCATGGAAGATGGAAGATGGAGCATGAAAGATGGAGCATGAAAGATGGAAGATGGAAGATGGAAGATGGAGCATGGAAGATGGAAGATGGAGCATGGAAGATGGAAAATGAAACATGGAGCATGGAAGATGGAAGATGGAAGATGGAGCACAGAAGATGGAGCATCGAAGATGGAAGATGGAGCATGGAAGATTGAAGACGGAGCATGGAAGATGGAAGATGGAAGATGGAGCATGGAAAATGGAAGATGGAAGCTGGAAGATGGAGCATGGAAGATGTAAGATAGAAGAAGGAGCATGGAAGATGGAGCATGGAAAATGGAAGATGGAAGATGGAGCATGGAAGATGGAAAATGAAAGATGGAAAGTGGAAGATGGAGCATGGAACATGGAAGATGGAAGATGGAGCATGGAAGATGGAAGATGGAAGATGGAAGATGGAAGATGGAAGATGGAGCATGGAAAGTGGAACATGGAAGATGGAAGATGGAGTATGGAGGATGCAGCATGGAAGATGGAGCATGGAAGATGGAGAAAGGAATATGGAAGATGGAAGATGAAATATAGAGCGTGTAAGATGGAAGATGAAAGATGGAAGATGGAGCATGGAAAATGGAAAATGGAAAATGGAAGATGGAACATGGAAGATAGAAGATGGAAGATGGAGCATGGAAGATGTAAGATAGAAGAAGGAGCATGGAAGATGGAGCTTGGAAGGTGGAAGATGGGGCATGGAAGATGGAAAATGAAAGATGGAAAGTGGAAAATGGAGCATGGAAGATGGAAGATGGAGCATAGAAGATGGAAAAGGGAAGATGGAAGATGGAAGGTGGAGCATGGAAGATGGAAGATGGAGCTTTGAAGATGGAAGATGGAAGATGGAAAATGGAAGATGGGGCATGGATGTTGGAAGATGGAAGATGGAGGGTGGAAGATGGAAGATGGAGCATGGAGCATGGAAAATGGAAAATGGAAAATGGAAAATGGAGAATGGAAAATGGAAAATGGAAAATGGAAAATGGAAAATGGAAACTGGAAGATGGAAGCTGGAAGATGGAGCATGGAAGATGGAGCATGGAAGATGGAGCATGGAAGATGGAGCATGGAAGATGGAAGAGGGACGATGGAAGATGGAAGATGGAAGATGGAGCATGGAACATAGAAGATGGAAGATGGAATATGCAAAATGGAAAATGGAAAATGGAAGATGGAAGATGGAAGATGGAGCATGGAATATGGAAGATGGAAGATGGAAGGTGGAAGCTGGAGCATGGAATATAGAAGATGGAAGATGGAAGGTAGAATATAGAGGATGGAAGATGGAAGATGGAGCATGGTAGTTGGAAGATGGAAGATAGAAGATGGAGCATGGAAGATGTAGCATGGAAGATGGAAGATGGAACATGGAAGATGGAGCACGGAAGATGGAAGATGGAGGATGGAAGTTGGAGCATGGAAGATGCAGCATGGAAGATGGGATATGGGGTATAGAAGATGTAAGATTGAAGATGGAAAATGAAGGATGGAGCATGAAAGATGGAGCATGAAAGATGGAAAATGGAAGATGGAGCATGGAAGATGGAAGATGGAGTATGGAAGATGGAAAATGGAAAATGGAAAATGGAAAATGGAAAATGGAAATGGAAAATGGAAAATGGAAAATGGAAAATGGAAAATGGAAAATGGAAAATGGAAGATGAAGCATGGAAGATGGAAGATGGAAGATGTTATAACCATAATATGCTCTGATGTACCAAAATGGAGAGATAGAGTGCTTAGTCAGATTTCCGTCAGACTACTTCAAATATTGATACCGATCTGATCTATGCCCGAAATGGTGATCTCTAAGTTGGATCTAGAGCGCGTTGCTATTGCCTATCAGCAAAAAATTGAATCATGAAATTCTATAACGATTTAACGACGCTATGGAGGTTTGACCGGCAGAAGGTAGAGCAACCACAATAGTCTGAGAAGTACAAATTTAGCAAGAAGAATCGAGATTGAGATGGTTCCCAGCCTCTACAAACTCCAAGAGCCGAGGTCCATGTTGGTGGTACACCACCACAGAGTCCCCAAACATGAAGAGTCTCGAAACAAACCCAACAAGGGCTACACCAAGTGAAATGTAACACTACATGAAGTAGCATTACTATTTTAATAAATTATCCGCATCCCTAGGGCTTGAAATCTTGAGCTCTTGGTCTTGATTCTGCAAGATGAGTTCTTCTTGAGTTGATGAGGGCTTGCTGTACTCACCTGCGTCGCAATGGTCTCTTCACACTCGACAAAATAGAAAAACACATGCGACGCGCAAACGACGACTTGTTATGCGAGTTGTGAAAACTCGCTAATGTCTTAATCGACACAAACTACAGTGTAGTACACCATTCAAGCACATACACAAGCACTAGATAGCAATAACATAGACTCACAAGTCATTCCATGCTATGCATGCACACACACGAACAAGGACGACAAGCCGAGTGCAAGCCATAGGGTTGCACCAACAAACTCCCCCACGGATTTTTTGCCTTAGAATCTGCTCCCCTTAGTTCAGAGCCATCCCAGCAAGCTTGCAACACTTGCAATGCTGCTGCTCAACCAGCCTTTTGGTCATCATATCACCTGGCTGCGCCGTCGTCTTCATGTAGTGCAACTCCACTTCACCCTCGGTTACCATGCTCCTCACCCAATGCCACTTCACCTTCATGTGCTTGGTAAGGCCATGAAGAATTGGGTTCTTAGCCAATGCAATAGCACCTTGGCTATCACAGTAGAGTGGGGTAGGTCCTTGCTACTCTTCTCCCAATTCAGCTAGCAAACAGTTGCTGTTTGGCCAAGGTACTTCGCCACTCTCTCTCCAGCTGCTACCTGATCTTCATTAGGGCATTGGACAACCCTAGCTAGCTGCCCGGTGGCAAAGGCTGCATCCGGCCTTGTGTGAACGGCCGCATACATGAGGCTGCCCACCAAGGAGTGAAAACGGCGCCTCTCCTCTTCACCAACACTTTCCTCCGCTTGTCCTTTCACACACTTGAACCTCGAGGGTAGAGGAGTTGCCACATAACCTTCATCCTTCCCAAAGTTTGCAGCCAAGGCCTCCAAGTAATTCTTTTGATGCACTCGCATCCACCGCTTCTCCACATCTCGCTCAATGTGAAGCCCAAGGTAGTAGTTGACGTCACCAAGGGTCTTGCACTTGAACTTCTCTTGAAGCTTCAGCGTCACCTCCTTCACAAGGTCAGAGGAGGGCGAGATTATGAGGATGTCATCCACATAAACGGCCATGAAGCTCCTCTGCTTCCCCTCGCCAAGCATGAACATGGATTGATCGGCCGTTGAGGGAGTGAAACCGATCGCCTCCAAGACTTCCCGCAGCTTGATGTACCATTGCCTAGGGGCTTGCTTGAGGCCATAGAGTGTTTTCTTCAACTTCCACACTCTACCACTCTCATCATTGTACCCCTCTGGCTGCTTCATGAAGGTCTCTTCCTCCAAAACTCCGTTGAATAAGGCCGTAACTACATCCATTTGCTTCACCACCCATCCTTCGATGGCCCCCGCAGCGAAGAGAGTTCGAGGGGTTGTACCCTTCACCACAGGAGCATATACTTTATTGTAGTCCTTCTTATCCTGCTGCTGGCACCCCTTGGCACCCCTTTTACAAGTCCTGAAATCGTCCAAGTACCTTTTGTGATTCGTGACGTGAGAATCTTCGCCAGCACATACTGGAATGGAAGTTCTCCTCACAGAGCTCCATGCTACGAGACTAGTTGGTCAGGATTCATGAAAATAGTACACGGAATGGATCAGGATTTCAAGGAGAATCCAGTCGGAAACATTCAGCGTTTCGGAAAATCCCAGCCTGTTAAAATCTGGGTTCGGGGCTTGAACAACTCTTAATTTCTTGACATTTATGGTAGCTACCCTTCTAGCATTAGCCCTGGAGTCAAGGCTTTGTTCTTGGCAACACAAGCATGCTGCACCGCATCTGGCCAAAAGTACTTGGGTAGACCGGCTTCAATAAGAAGTCCCCGAGCCGTCTCTGTGAGTGTCCGATTCGCACGCTCGGCGATGCCGTTCATTGCAGGAGAGTAGGGCATGGTGAGAGAGTGCCTTATGCCCTGCTTCTTCAGCAAAGTTGAGAAGTCCTTGCTCAGGAACTCTCCCCCACAGTCAGTGCGAATCGCCTTCACAAGCCGGTCTTGTTGCCGCTCCACCATCGGCAACCAATCGGTCTTCACCGTTTCAGCTACGTCACTCTTCTTGGGCAGCACATACACCCAAGTCATGCGAGTGTAGACATCCACTATAGTGAGGAAGTACTCAGCTCCAGCAGCTCCAAGCTTCAAGGGGCCAACCACATCCATCACCACCTCATCAAGTAGTGCCTTCGCCGTTGTCTCCGAGCTATGGAACGGGTAGCGGGTGAACTTGGCTTGCATGCATGTTGGACAGCCAAGCACCTCATTGGGCTCCCCCTTGACACGTATCCTACTGACCATCTCTTACTTAACTATCTGCTGCAAAATGGGCAACGCCACATGCCCCATTCGCCGATGCAAGGTCAGCCAATCACACTCTCCCATAGCGGGAGTCGGGTTGGAGAAAACAGCACTCGCAATTCTGCCCCACAAGCTCTCTCCTTTCTCCTTCGCCACTGTTGCTTTGATGATCTTAGGCTTTTCCTCCTCATTTCCACCACCTTTGGCTGCTGCACCACTCTCCTTGGGTTCACACGCCTTGCTGGCCTCTCCAAGATTGCACTCCTTCGAGTCACTCTTGGTGTCACTTTGCTTTCCGTGATCACCGCCACCAACAACTTCACTCTTGGTGCTGACGCTTGCTGCCACTTGCCTCTCCTTAGGCATGGGGACCACTGGGATTTGCCACATCTCATTGTAGATGTCCCTATCCTCATGAAGGTCCCAAAGCTTCCGCTCACCAAGCCTCGCGGTATATGTTTTGGATCTCTTGGAAGATGTGTCCATGCCGGCCTTTTGCAAACGCCGCATGGAAATCAGGTTGGCTGCTAGGTTGGGCACCCAAAGCACGTTCTTGAGGCCCACCATCTTCCCATCAGCACCCTTGAACATGGCCTTGCCCATGCCTTTCACATCTGCTCGCTGCCCCAAAGCCGATGTAACATGCTTGACCGGCGACGGTTCGAGTTCGGTGAGCAAGTCCGCATGAGGTGTCATGCTATAGGTGGCGCCGCTATCGATCACCTAAAAGTACAGAGAGTGAAGGGTGACCTTTCCCACAGTAGCTGACTCCTCAAAGCCTTCCACAACTCCTTCTGGAGCTGCCGCTTGCGTGGAGACAAAGAAGAATTGGCCCGGGTATCGATCTTCACTTGGGTCCGTATCGTAGTCTCCACCTTTCATGCTTGCCGCTTCGCTTCCACGACCACCACGGCCTCCACGACCTCTGCCTCTTCCTCCCCTTACTCCTTTGCCCTTTTGGCCTTGAGAAGGGGTCCATCCTTTGGGCAATCTGAAGCAATCTCTCCACATGTGGCCAGTCTTGTGGCAAAAGTGACATTCGCCATCAAATCGACGCGCCCACGCACGTAGCCGTTATTGTTGTTGTTGCTGCCATATCCTCCATTACCACGGCCTCCACTAAAATTGCTGCTGCCAAATCTGCCTCCTCGCCTTCTGCCCCTTCCACGGCCGCCCACACGGCCCATGCTTGCGACTCTGGCACCATCGAGACCTGCAAATTCGCGACGACGGAAATCTTCTTGTAAGATTTCCCGCTTCACATCTTCGAGCGAGAGGTGGGGCAGATCTCGATTTAGGTTGATGATGAGCGAGGACCATGAGTCCGGAAGCAAGGCCAGCAGCTTGGTCTTCTTTTGAAGTTCACTGTAGTTCAGGTCAGCTTACTTCGAGCCGTGTCAACAAGTCGAAGAATTTACTAGCTCCTTCCTCCACCGGTTCGCCTTTGTCAATTCGAAGTGCCGCCATTTGCCGCTCCAAAACCACAGCCACCACCGCTATTACAGGAGCGTGTACACCCTTGAAAGCAGCCCATGCCTTTGGTCCCTTTGCTGGTTCACACTAGAAAGGCTTGATGTGACGGATTTGGCTGCTCCCCAACGCTTGCCCAAGTAGAAGATAGCCTTGTGCGCTCTTCCGCACCCACGGACTCTTCTCCTGGTCGTTCTCGGGGCGCTTCTCCGTTCCTTCCATCACCTCCAGCATATCATAGTGGTCAAATATGTTCTCCATCTTGAAGGACCACTCAGCAAAGTTGTCACCGTTGAACTTGTCAAGGCCAAACACTCTAGGCTCATCCCTAGAGGGGCCAAGGCTAGGTTGCAGGGGAGCAACGGGTGGATCTTGGTGTTGACCTTGTACTTTGGCATCTTCTCTGCCTCCAGCACCTTTGCCACCCCCTTCCCCAGGTCTAGGCATGGTCGAAGTGGCTCCAAGGGGCTCTGATACCACGTGTTATAACCACAATAAGCTCAGATGTGCCAAAATTGACAGATAGAGTGCACAGTCGGATTTCCGTCAGACTAATTCAAATATTAATACAGATCTATACTCTGCCTAAAACGGTGATTTGTAAATTGAATCTAAAGTGCGTTGCTGTCGCCTATCAGCAGCAAGTTGAATCAAGAAGTTCCATGAAGATTTGACGACGCTATGGCAGTTTGACTAGCAGGAGGTAGAGCCGCCGCTATATTCTTAGAAGTACAAACTTAGCAAGAAACTAGACGAGATTGAGATGGTTCCCAGCCTCTATAAACTCCAAGAGCCGAGGTCCAGGTTGGTGGTACACCACCACATAGTCCCCAACCACGAAGAGTCTCGAAACAAACCCAACAAGGGCTATACTAAGTGAAATGTTACACTACACGAAGTACATGCTCCATCTTCCATCTTCCATGCTCCATCTTCCATGCTCCACCTTCCATGCTTCTTCTTCTATCTTCCATCTTCCATGCTCCATCTTCCAGCTTCCATCTTCCATCTTCCATCTTCCATCTTCCATCTTCCATATTCCATGCTCCGTCTTCCATCTTCCATCTTCCATCTTCCATGCTCCATCTTCCATCTTCCATCTTCGATCTTCCATCTTCTATCGTCCATTTTCCATCTTCGATCTTCCATCTTCTATCGTCCATTTTCCATCTTCCATCTTCCATGCTCCATTTTCCATGCTCCGTCTTCCATGCTCCATCTTCCATCTTCCATGCTCCATCTTTCATCTTCCATCTTCCATCTTCCATCTTCCATGCTCCATCTTACATCTTGCATCTACATGCTCCATCTTCTATCTTCCATCTTCTATGCTCCATGTTTCATTTTCCATATTCCATGCTCCATCTTCCATCTTCCATCTTCCATCTTCCACTTTCCATGCTCCGTCTTCCATCTTCTATACTCCATCTTCCATCCTCCATGCTCCATCTTCCATCTTCCATGCTCCATCTTCCATGCTGGGTGAATGGGGAACTGGGGTAGTGAGTGAATGGTGAGTGGGTGAATGGGTGAATGGGTGGAGGGATGAATGGGTGATTGGGTGAATGTGTGAGTGGGTGACTGGGTGAGTGGGTGAGTGCGTGAGGGTGTGAGGGTGTGAGTGGGTGAGTGGGCGCATGGGCGAGTGGGTGATTGGTTCAATGGGTGAGTCGGTGAGAGTGGGTGAGTGGGTGAATGGGTGATTGGGTGAATGGGAGAGTGGGTGAGTGGGTGAACGGGTGAGTGGGTGTGTGGGTGAGTGGGTGAGTTGGTGAATGTGTGAGTGGGTAAGTGGATGCATGCGTGAATGGGTAAATGGTTTAGTTGGTGAATGGGTGAGTGGGTGGGTGGGTGAGTAACTACATTGGTGAGTGGGTGAATGGGTGAATGGGTGAATGGGTTAATGGGTGAATGGGTGAATGGGTGAATGGGTGAATGGGTGAATGGGTGAATGGGTGAATGGGTGAATGGGTGAATGGGTGAATGGGTGAATGGGTGAATGGGTGAATGGGTGAATGGGTGAATGGGTGAATGGGTGAATGGGTGAATGGGTGAATGGGTGAATGGGTGAATGGGTGAATGGGTGAATGGGTGAATGGGTGAATGGGTGAATGGGTGAATGGGTGAATGGGTGAATGGATGAATGGGTGAATGGGTGAATGGGTGAATTGGGTGAATGGGTGAATGGGTGAATGGGTGAATAGGTGAATAGGTGAATCGGTGAATGGGTGGATGGGTGAATGGGTGAATGGGTGAATGGTTGAATTGGTGAATGGGTGAATGGTGAATTGGTGAATTGGTGAATGGGTGAATGGGTGAATGGGTGAATGGTTGAATGGTTGAATGGGTGAATAGGTGAATGGGTGAATGGGTGAATGGGTGAATGGGTGAATGGGTGAATGGGTGAATGGGTGAATGGGTGAATGGGTGAATGGGTGAATGGGTGAATGGGTGAATGGGTGAATGGGTGAATGGGTGAATGGGTGAATGGGTGAATGGGTGAGTGGGTGAGTGGGTGAATGGGTGAATGGGTGAATGGGTGAATGGGTGAATGGGTGGATGGGTGAATGGGTGAATGGGTTAATGGGTGAATGGGTGAGGTGGTGAATGGGTGAACAGGCGAATTTGTGAATGGGCGAATGGGTGAATGGGTGAATGGGTGAATGGGTGAATGGGTGAATGGGTGAATGGGTGAATGGGTTAATGGGTGAATGGGTGAGGTGGTGAATGGGCGAATTTGTGAATGGGCGAATGGGTGAATGGGTGAATGGGTAAATGGATGAATGTGTGAATGTGTGAATGTGTGAATGGGTAAGTGGGTTAGTGGGTGAATCAGTGAATCGGTGGATGGGTGAATGGGTGGGTGGGTGAATGGGTTAGTGGGTGAATGGGTTAGTGGGTGAATCGGTTAATCAGTGGATGGGTGAATGGTTTAAGGGTGAATGGTGAATGGGTGAATGGGTGAATAGGTGAATGGGTGAATGGGTGAATGGGTGAATGGGTGAATGGGTAAATGGGTGAATGGGTGAATGGGTGAATGGGTGAATGGGTGAATGGGTGAATGGGTGAATGGGTGAATGGGTGAATGGGTGAATGGGTGAATGGGTGAATGGGTGGATGGGTGGATGGGTGAATGGGTGAATGGGTGAATGGGTGAATGGGTGAATGGGTGAATGGGTGAATGGGTGAATGGGTGAATGGGTGAATGGGTGAATGGGTGAATGGGTGAATGGGTTAATGGGTGAATGGGTGAGGTGGTGAATGGGCGTATGGGTGAATTTGTGAATGGGCGAATGGGTGAATGGGTGAATGGGTGAATGGGTGAATGGGTGAATGGGTGAATGGGTGAATGGGTGAATGGGTGAATGGGTGAATGGGTGAATGGGTGAACGGGTAAATGGGTGAATGGGTGAATGGTGAATGGGTGAATGGGTGAATGGGTGAATGGGTGAATGGGTGAGGTGGTGAGGTGGTGAATGGGTGAATGGGTGAATGGGTGAATGGATGAATGGGTGAATGGGTGAATGGGTGAATGGGTGAATGGGTGAATGGGTGAATGGGTGAATGGGTGGATGGGTGGATGGGTGAATGGGTGAATGGGTGAATGGGTGAATGGGTGAATGGGTGAATGGGTGAATGGGTGAATGGGTGAATGGGTGAATGGGTGAATGGGTGAATGGGTGAATGGGTTAATGGGTGAATGGGTGAGGTGGTGAATGGGCGTATGGGTGAATTTGTGAATGGGCGAATGGGTGAATGGGTGAATGGGTGAATGGGTGAATGGGTGAATGGGTGAATGGGTGAATGGGTGAATGGGTGAATGGGTGAATGGGTGAATGGGTGAACGGGTAAATGGGTGAATGGGTGAATGGGTGAATGGGTGAATGGGTGAATGGGTGAATGGGTGAATGGGTGAGGTGGTGAGGTGGTGAATGGGTGAATGGGTGAATGGGTGAATGGATGAATGTGTGAATGGGTAAGTGGGTTAGTGGGTGAATCAGTGAATCGGTGGATGTGTGAATGGGTGGGTGAGTGAATGGGTTAGTGGGTGAATCGGTTAATCAGTGGATGGGTGAATGGTTTAAGGGTGAATGGGTGAATGGGTGAATGGGTGAATGGGTGAATGGGTGGATGGGTGAATGGGTGAATGGGTTAATGGGTGAATGGGTGAGGTGGTGAATGGGTGAATGGGCGAATTTGTGAATGGGCGAATGGGTGAATGGGTGAATGGGTGAATGGGTGAATGGGTTTGTGGGTGAATGGGTGAATGGGTGAATGGGTGAATGGGTTGAATGGGTGAATGGGTGAATGGGTGAATGGGTGAATGGGTGAATGGGTG